GAAATGCTGATGGCCTTTCAAGTAAACATACCTTTATGACAATGGTCAATCACCCCACTAGGTTTGAACTGCAGGAGGAGATGTGTGACAGAGTGCAAGGCATGGTTATGGATGGAGTGTACATTTCTCCAATTTCTATGCAAAATGCGATCTAATAGCCCCAGGAAGAAGGTTTGTCTGTTTTCAGGAGAGCAAAAAAAGGGTCGCAAGAGTACTCTGAGAACAGACAGCAGCTGAAATAGCCTGCCCTTCAGTGGGTCCCCGCTCAGAACTCAAGCTGGTTTTAGCTCATCTTGTGCCATTACAGAGAGAACATATCTGAAGCATATCAGACTGGTCCCACTCATACGGGCAGTCCAGATGCGAAATGCCAGCAAGTTCTCTCTGCACGAGAGATATGGCAACCCCAGATGATCTGGGGTTTTCATGAGCTATTCTGTAATTTAATATGTGATCCTGGGATGGAGCATTTGTAGTGAAGGTAGGGCCAGTGCTCCACACCATAGTTTACATGCAGCACAGCAGGTGAGCAATCCAGTCCAGGAGTTCTGGATCACCTAGGTAGTTGCTCACCTGCTAGATCAGCACAAAGGTGCTATAAAATTCACTGTCAGGGATTCAGGGCCGTCTTTAACGCGGGGCAAACGGGGCAGCTGCTCCGGGCCCAGTTTCTCTTGGGGGGCCCGAGGCACCTGCCCCGTGGGCCCCGCTGACCCCGGCGGGCGGGTGGCCGGTCGGGCAGGAAGGCGGGCGCGCGAGGGAGCACTCAGTGCTTCCTCTTCAGCTCCCTCGCGCACCGCACTGATACTGGAGCCGGAAGATGACGTCATCTTCCGGCGCTGGCATCCCTACGCGGCGCACGAGGGAGCTGAAGAGGAAGCACTGAGTGCTCCCTCGCGCGCCTGCCTTCCTGCCCGACCGGCCACCCGCCCAGGAGCCCAGCATCACCACTGGACCCCAGGGAATCCCCCCAGCACTCCAAAAGGTAAGGAGGCTGGGGGGATTACATTTAAAAAAAAAATGTGTGTGTTAGTGTATGTGTTTGTGTGTTAGTGTGTGTGTTTGTGTATGTGTGTGTAAGTGTGTGTGTGTTTGTGTGTTAGTGTGTGTGTATGTGTGTGTTTGTTTGTGTGTGTGTGTGTGTATGTGTGTGTTAGTGTTTGTGTGTTAGTGTATGTGTGTGTTAGTGTATGTATGTGTGTGTTTGTGTGTGTTAGTGTGTGTGTATGTGTGTGTTAGTGTATGTGTGTGTTAGTGTGTTAGTGTATGTGTGTGTTAGTGTATGTATGTGTGTGTTAGTGTGTGTGTGTTTGTGTGTTAATGTATGTGTATGTGTGTGTTTGTGTGTGTGTGTATGTGTGTGTTAGTGTTTGTGTGTTAGTGTATGTGTGTTAGTGTTTGTGTGTTAGTGTATGTATGTGTGTGTTTGTGTGTGTTAGTGCATGTGTGTGTTAGTGTATGTGTGTGTGTGTCAGCATGTCTGTGTGTGTGTCAGTATGTCTGTGTGTGTGTGTCAGTATGTCTGTCTGTCTGTGTGTCAGTGTATGTGGGTGTCAGTATATCTGTCAGTGTGTGGGTGTCAGTATTTCTGTCAGTGTATGTGTGTCAGTATGTTGATCAGTGTATGTGTCTGTGTGTGTGTGTCAGTATGTCAGTATATGTGTCTGTGTGTCAGTATGTCTGTATATGTGCCTGTGTCAGTATGTCTGTCAGTACGTCTACCAGTGTATGTGTCTGTGTGTGTGTCAATATGTGTACCTGTGTCAGTGTGTCTGTCAGTGTATGTGCCTGTTTATCTGTATGTAGTCAGTGTATGTATCTGTGTATCTGCTTGTGCGTCAGAGTGTGTACCTGTGCATCTGAGCCGTAACTTTAAATACAAATACACCCCTCCATTCAAACTTCAACACTACATATAAAACACACTCCTGCATTGAAACGTCAACACTACATACAAGCACACTCCTACATTCAAAAACAAACACTACACATAAATGCACACTTGCATTCAAACTCCAGTACCACATACAAACACATTCACACAAACATACTCCATACAAACACATGCTTACATTCAAACATACTAACATGGCTCAGTGCTAAATACAACCCTGCAAGCATGGGAAATTGGTAGAGTCCCAGCTGTCAAAGCATTGTTGGAGTTGCACGACAGATGGGGTTCTACCTTTAGTCCAACCTTGCAATTGGGGGTCCCAATAAAATTCATTCTACTTTAGTACCGCCACTGCGTTGGGATGGATGCCGTGATTGCATACCAGGGAGTGAGGGGCGAGAGCGGCAGGGCACAGGGGGCCCAAGCAAACACTTGCCCAGGGTCCATTCGTTATAAAAGACGGCCCTGCAGGGATTCACAAGGAGAAAGACAAGCAGTGTATGAGATTGCATTTCGCTCTACAGGAGTCTTCATGTTCTGAAGGAGAACAGAAACATTTATTTGGAAAAGGTCTGTGCTAAAATTAGTGTTCTGTATTGTTGGCAGTGGGTAAGCTGCCCAAGAGTAGTTTAGTAAAAACTGTCAGTTAGTGCTCAGAAGAGCAAGACTTTTATTATTTGTTTATATGCCAGACCTCTTAATAAACAAGACTGCATTTACAAGAAATACAATTTGTATATGGTTATATGTCCCAGGTCACAACCCCTACCAAGAGTAAACAAAGGAAATGTTGGCACTTTACATGTTGATATATATATTGTTCTTATATATTGTTAAGTAATGTTTGTCCAAGAGTAGTTTAGTAAAAACTGTCAGTTAGTGCTCAGAAGAGCAAGACTTTTATTATTTGTTTATATGCCAGACCTCTTAATAAACAAGACTGCATTTACAAGAAATACAATTTGTATGTGGTTATATGTCCCAGGTCACAACCCCTACCAAGAGTAAACAAAGGAAATGTTGGCACTTTACATGTTGATATTTATATTGTTCTTATATATTGTTAAGTAATGTTTGTCATGGGTCATTGTCTTTGATTTAACATGGGAGAGATGTTATAATGTTGGGGGTTGGGGTACAATGACCACAGTATATTTTGTATATGATAAGTTATTAGCTTTATTATTAAAGCTGTGGATATTTTGACCCATGCATAAGAGGGTGGGTTTGGGTTCAGGTTCTAATATCCCTCCCTTGCCCATATGGCGACTAGGCACCTGTCATGCAGCCTATAGAGAAAGCACTGTTAAGGGAATAGGCTAGCCCTATTCCCTTAAAAGTGCTTTCTCTATAGGCTACATGATAGGTGCCTAGTCGCCATATGGGCTAGGGGGTAGAGCCCTAATGGATCACCTAGGTAGTTGCTCACCTGCTAGCAATGATCAGCACAAAGGTGCTATAAAATTCACTGTCAGGGATTCAGGGCCGTCTTTAACGCGGGGCAAACGGGGCAGCTGCCCCGGGCCCAGTTTCTCTTGGGGGGCCCGTGTCAGGGCCGGACTGGGAATTAAAAGCAGCCCTGGAAAAAAAATATTTACCAGCCCCATAATGCGTCGCACCAGCATAGTGTGCAGATACAGAGTTAGAACAGATAACTTAAAATTAAAAAGTACTTCAACGTAAAAAGCGCACTCATAGGCTTCAAAATAAACAAAAGTGCAGACTTATTTTAAGCAGACGTGCCTTTGCATGTAATCAATGTTTCAGTCCAACTACCTTGACATATTAAGGAAAGCTTGTTAATGGGACTGAAATGGTGAATGTATGTAGGGCACAACTGAAAAAATGTTTATTTTGAAGTCCTGTGGGTGTGCTCTTCACTTTAAATATGTTATTGTGCTGGAGTATGCACCTAGCAACAAGACTAGGCCAATATCTGCTCATTACATATGGTACATATTAATGAAATTTCTCTGTGTATTATGCATTTATAAATGTACATTAATATGTGTAAATATAATAGGTATATATAACTAATACACACATTAGTATATATGTCATATACTAGTGGCGGATCCAGAGCCTAAACCTGAGAGGGGCACTTGTAGATTATTTAAAGAAATATTCCATGCACAATAACCACTACTCCTCTGTGTACTGGTTATGGTGCCAGGAGCGTCGGCACCCCCTCCCAGAGTAAGTCGTCAAACCGTTTAAGAACAGTTTGACAACTTACCTGGAGTCTGCTGGGATATGGGGCTGTAGTAGGGTATAGGAGCAGTGGTGCAATGTGTGTGAAAGGTTCAGTGTGTGGGTGGGCAGTGTGTAAATGTGTATGGTGTGTGGGGCAGTGTGTGTATGGGGCTAGAGTTCACTCCTACTACTGGGATCACCAGGAAGTGGTGAGAGTGAACTCTAGCCCGTAGCTCCAGGGCTAGAGTTCACCCTCGTGAGAGCCGGAGCATTGCCCCAGGTCCACTCTTCCTCCCCTGCCGACTGGCTGCACGGTGCCTGTGGAACGGGGAGGGAGATCGGCCGGCAGGGGAAAGCCTTGGGGGCTTTGTGATATATACTGCCCCTATGTGTGTCTCTTTAGCTCAAGCCCCTCTGTGTGCCTAAGCAGACGTGCCTTTGCAATTATTAGTGATATTGCAGAAGGTCTTGATGGTAAGGTATGTCTTTTTGCTGATGATACTAAGATATGTAACAGGGTTGATGTTCCAGGAGGGATAAGCCAAATGACAAATGATTTAGGTAAACTAGAAAAATGGTCAGAATTGTGGCAACTGACATTTAATGTGGATAAGTGCAAGATAATGCATCTTGGGCGTAAAAACCCAAGGGCAGAGTACAGAATATTTGATAGAGTTCTAACCTCAACATATGAGGAAAGGGATTTAGGGGTGATTATTTCTGATGACTTAAAAGGTAGGCAGACAATGTAATAGAGCAGCAGGAAATGCTAGCAGAATGCTTGGTTGTATAGGGAGAGGTATTAGCAGTAGAAAGAGGAAGTGCTCATGCCATTATACAGAACACTGGTGAGACCTCACTTGGAGTATTGTACACAGTACTGGAGACCGTATCTTCAGAAGGATATTGATACCTTAGAGAGGGTTCAGAGAAGGGCTACTAAACTGGTTCATGGATTGCGGGATAAAACTTACCAGGAAAGGTTAAAGGATCTTAACATGTATAGCTTGGAGGAAAGACGAGACAAGGGGGATATGATAGAAACATTTAAATATATAAAGGGAATCAACACAGTAAAGGAGGAGACTATATTTAAAAGAAGAAAAACTACCACAACAAGAGGACATAGTCTTAAATTAAGGGACAAAGGTTTAAAAATAATATCAGGAAGTATTACTTTACTGAGAGGGTAGTGGATGCATGGAATAGCCTTCCAGCTGAAGTGGTAGAGGTTAACACAGTAAAGGAGTTTAAGCATGCGTGGGATAGGCATAAGGCTATCTAACTATAAGATAAGGCCAGGGACTAATGAAAGTATTTAGAAAATTGGGCAGACTAGATGGGCGAGATGGTTCTTATCTGCCGTCACATTCTATGTTTCTATGTTTCTATGTTTCTATATCCCCAGTCCTCTGTATCTGTTTCTTTTCTCACTGCTCCTCTGTGTCAATGTCTCCCCTCTCCTTCCCAGTCTCTCTCTTCCCCCTCTGCCTCTTTTCTTCCCCTCCCCTTGTGTGTCTCTCTCATTTCTCCCTCTTTCTCTCTCTCTTCCCCCTCTGCCTCTTTCTTCCCCTCCCCTTGTGTGTCTCATTTCTCCCTCTTTGTCTCTCTCTCTCCCCTCTGCATCCTTTCACCCCCTTTCTCTGTGTCTCTCCCTCCCCCCTTTCCCTGTGTCTCTCCCCTCTCTCTCCCTCCCCCTTTCCCTGTGTCTCTCCCCTCTCTATTCCCCTCACCATCTCTCCCATCTCCCTCCCTCCCTCCTTTCCCTGTGTCTCTCCCATCTCCCTCCCTCCCTCCTTTCCCTGTCTCTCCCATCTCCCTCCCTCCTTCCTTTCCCTGTCTCTCCCCCATCCTCACTCCCCTTTCCTGTGTCTCTCCCATCTCCCTCCCCCACTTTCCTGTCTCTCCCCCCCTTTCCTGTGTCTCTCATCTCTCTCCCTCCCCACTCCTGTGTCTCTCCCCCTTTCCTGTGTCTCTCCCCATCTCTCTCCCCTTTCCTGTGTCTCTCCCCTCCTCCCCCATCTCTCTCCCCTTTCCCTGTGTCTCCCCCCTCTCTCTCCCCACCCTTTCCTGTGTCTCTCCCCATCCTCTCCTCCCACTTCCTGTATACTCTCCCCTCCCCTCCCTCTATTCCCTCTACCCCGCTTACCTGGAGAAGTCAGGGGCCGACCGCGTTCCTGGCTGGAGCCGCCGGGCCGGGTGTCAGCTTCCCCGGTCCGGCAGCCCTGCTCCTGTCACTGCTGTGGCTGATGGAGGAGCATGTCTCTGTACCATGCTCCCTCACGGTTCCTGTGGCGGGAACCGCAAGGGAGCATGGTACAGAGACATGCTCCTCCTCCATCAGCCACAGCAGTGAGAGGAGTGCCACCGGACCGGGGAAGCTGCCACCCGGCCCGGCGGCTCCAGCCAGGAACGCTGCCGGCCCCCAGGTGCCGCGGCCCACCGGGAAATTTCCCGGTATCCCGGTGGGCCAGTCCGGCCCTGCCTAGTGTTTTGGGGTTGGCTGATATAAATAGGTCAGCCATTTTAGAATCCCTTCACTACTAATTTCACTTACCTGGCAGAGTTGGTACCTCCCTCTTTCGTTCCCCATTTGGTCACAGTGGCAGGGATGCGGTAAGGAAGGTTAGGGGGAAAACTGGCCTTCTTAGTTAATATAGGATTAAGGGTAGTTAGTTGGTCAGTTCAAATGGTATGCTGTGTATACAAGTTTTTGTAGGTTTCAAGCTCGTTGGTGGATCGGAACCTGGGTGATGTAGGGGTGTTTGGGTATATGAAGGAAATGTTGGCACTTTACATATTCATACTTATATGGTTGTTATATATTGTTAAACAATGTTTATGTTATGAATCATTGTCTTTTTTTAACATGGGGGAGATGTTATAATTTTGGGGGTTGGGGCGGCCAATGACCTTAGTATATATTGTACAAAATAAATACACAAAAAGCATAGAATGTGGGGGTGCATGAATTTTCAACAGCACATAGTGAATGATACTTAATAGTAATGAGTATGACACCTCCTGACAGTGGTGTATCCTGGTTTTGTGCTGCCCTAGGCAGGACAAAACTCAGGCACCTACCCCTCCCCCCGTGCCACCCCCACCCAACCCTTCCCCCCCGCGCCACCCCCACCCAACCCTTCCCCCCCACCCCAACTTCTAAATACACAGTCAGACACACACACACAGTCAGACACACACACACAGTCAGACACACACAAACAGTCAGACACAAACACACAGTCAGACACACACACACACACACAGTCAGGCATACACACACACACACACACACACACACAGTCAGGCAAACACACACACACAGTCAGGCAAACACACACACACGGTCAGGCGACACACACACACACACAGTCCGGGCAAACACACACACACACACACACGGTCAGACTACAAACACACACACACACACACAGTCAGACACAAAACACACACACAAACACACAGTCAGACACAAACACACCACGGTCAGACACCAAAGCCGCACAGTCAGACACACACACACACACTCACATCCATAGTTTTCTTTTTATTTAACCCCCCAGCCTCCTTACCTTTGGGAGTGCTGGGGGGGGGTTCCTCTTTCTCCCAGGTGGTCCAGTGGCTGCCGGTCGGGCTGGCATGTGGGCGGCACTGGCGAGGGAGCTCTTCCTCTGAGCTGCAGTCAGATTCCGGCTCCCAGCCTCACTCTGCGTCGCGCGAGGGAGCTGAGCAGACAGCTCAGAGGAATGTCTGTTAGCCGCGAGGCTAACAAGACATTTTCCCTGGGCATTTTGGGCAGCATTTTTTGCCGCCCCCTGAAAAATGATGCCCAAGGCAAATGCCTTGTTTGCCTCGCGGCTAATACGCCCCTGCCTCCTGATCATTCTGTAAAATAATATAAAAACTAACATAGCAAAATACAGTAATACCCCATTACAGAGGTAATGGGTCACTCACACTTTGCAGAGTCTTATCAAGCAGGCTCTGGCTATGTAGGCTGTCGAATAATATAGTTTTTAAGGCAATACGTCCCACCCCTTGGTCCACTTCCTTCTCAGGTGACAAAAAAATAAGGAGATATCCAGTTAGATTGAAATGAAGAGATTTTTACTTCAAATAAAATATAAAACAATTACACAAAATAAACAGCTAAATTAGCAGCAAAAAAGAGGGCGGCAGTGAAGAGGGAGAGCCAGCCGACTACTCCCATCAGCCCCAGCCACCCTCCTGCAAAGAAAAGGTAAGAGACAGGAGGGTGGCTGGAAAATTAGCTGTGTGTGTGTGTATGTCTATGTATGCATGTCTGTATGTATGCATGTCTGTATGCATGTCTGTATGCATGTCTGTATGTATATATGAATGTATGTATGTATGCCAGTATCAATGTATGTCATTATGTATGTATATATGTATTTCTGTATGTCATCATGTGTATATATATATATATGTATTTCTGTATGTCAGTATGAATTTATGTCTGCATATCATGTTTGTATGCATGTATGTCAATATGTCTGTATAAATGCATGTATGTCAGTCTGAATATATGTATGTATGTGTGTATGGATGTCAGTGTCTGTATGTCTGTATGTGTGTATGTATGTCGGTGTCTGTATGTATGCGTCTTTATGTCCTCATGCAAGTGTGTCTGTATGCATGCTAGTATGTGTCTGTCTGTCACTATGTATGCCTGTGTGTCTGTATGTGTGTGTATGTCTCAGTATGTGTGTGTCAGTATGTATGCCTGTATGCGTGTATGTCTGTTTCAGTATGTGTGTCTGTTAGTATGTATCTGTGTCCTTTTATATCAATGTGTGTGTTTGTGTCTGTATGTGTATTCCTGTGGGCGGTATTTGGAGGCGGACCCTGTGGGCAGAATTTGGAGGCAGGCGGAAGGGGGCCCAGACCCTGAGCTGAGTTAGGGGCCCCAAAATTTCTGTTGGCGGCCCTGCCCATAACACATAAAGAAAAAAAAATGTGTTTTGCCTGCTTACTCATGTTTTCTTTAAAAAAAAAAGTTTGCATGCCCATGGAGAATTGGTAATATATGTACTAACATATATTACCAATTCTCCAAGGGTAGGCAAACTTTTGAGCACAGCTGTATATATACACATATATGCTTTAAACAGTTCTAACAGTTTAATATTGTTTGAATGTATTTATTCATACTCATAAAAAATTATTATTAAATAACACAACTAACACCTACCTTTTATTTATATATCAAGTTGTGCCATAACTCCACATGTAACAGTTCCCATTTAAGCTGTTTACATATAAATAGAAATTAATAAACACAGCAAAAACAAGCAATGAAAGATTTTTCCCAGACCAAGCAATCAAAAATCTGAAGTCTAGCAGTTTAACTAAACAAAACTTATTGGTATAAAAACCCACTTTTTTAAATGCACTCTGTGAAGAAAATAGACTTATTTTCTGCATTTTCTTCTGTTTATTCGTGACTTTCAGCTGTATTCATTGATTTGGGCATAATGGATTTTTATTGTGCTGCTGCTGGCCCTTTAACTCCCAGAGAAAGGATTTGCACTTTTAAACTGGCACGTCGGATGCAGTCGAAGTGCCGAAGTAGTCGAAGTGGCCGCCAAAGGCAACCATCCTGATCCAGAGCAATGGGATGGCAAAGAAATTTTTTTTTTTACAGTAAGAGCCATAAGGATATGGAATTCTTTGCCTGAAGAAGTGGTTTTGTCAGAGTCTATACAGATGTTTAAACTACAATTGGATAAACACTTGCAAAAACATAACATACAGGGATATAATTTCTAGTTAGTGGGGTAATAGCTGCTTGATCCGAGGAAATATCTGACTGCTATTTTGGGGTCAAGAAGGAATTTTTTCCTAGTTTGTTGCAAAATTGGAAGCGCTTCAGACAGTTTTTTTTGCCTTCTTTTGGACCAACACAAAAACGTATGTGAGGAACGCTGAACTTGATGGACGCAAGTCTCTTTTCAGCTATGTAACTATATAACTATGACGTGCTCCACGAGGTGAACCCAGCTCAAGCCGAGGGGGACAATCTGGTACACCACCGTCAGTGGGTTACAGTAGATGGAGGGCAGGCAGAGGCACTTCGGGACTCCGGGGCCACTCTCACCCTGG